TTCTATCTAGAACCACTCCTAGATCTCTTTCTTTATCAGAATTCTTTAAAGATTTCTCACATAATATATAGGTTGTGTGGGGTCTATGTTCTCCTATTCCACATTCCATAACATGACATTTATTAACATTAAATTCCATTTGCCAAGTGGTGCTCCATATACTTATTTTGTCCAGGTCTTCTTGAAGGGCATGACAGTCATCTAAATTTCTTATCCTTCCTATTATCTTAGCATCATCAGCAAACATGTTCATATAATTCTGTATACCAACTGGTAGATCATTTATGTACACAATAAACATCACTGGTGCAAGAACTGAACCCTGTGGTACTCCACTTGTGACATTTCTCCATTCTGATACATTGCCTCTGATTACTGCCCTCATTTTTCTATCAGTCAGAAAATTTCTCATCCATGATAGAAGCTTACCTGTCACCCCTCCAATATTTTCCAGTTTCCAGAACAACCTCTTATGTGGAACTCTGTCGAAAGCCTTTTTTAGGTCCAGATAGATGCAGTCAACCCAACCATCTCTTTCCTGTAATATCTCTGTGGCTCGATCATAGAAACTGAGTAAATTCGATACACAGGATCTTCCAGATCGAAAACCATACTGTCTGTCTGATATTATATCATTTCTCTCTAGGTGTTCTACCCATTTAGTTTTGATTAGTTTTTCCAATACTTTCACTATTACACTTGTCAATGATACAGGTCTATAATTGAGGGGGTCTTCCCTGCTGCCACTTTTGTAGATTGGAACTATGTTAGCCTGTTTCCACCCGTCTGCTACGATTCCTGTACACAGGGATGCCTGAAAGATCAGGTGAAGTGGAATGCTGAGCTCAGATGCACATTCTCTCAGAACCCATGGTGAAACGCCATCTGGGCCAGCTGCTTTGTTCTTACCGAGCTCCTTGAGCATTTTTTCCACTTCGTCTCTAGACACCTCTATGTGTTCTATGTTGTTCTCTGGAATTCTTATTGTATCTGGTTCCCTAAAGATTTCATTTTGTACAAACACACTTTGGAACTTTTCGTTTAGTGTTTCACACATTTCCTTTTCATCTTCCGTGAATCTATTTCCCATTTTCAACCTCTGAATATTATCCTTTACCTGCAATTTGTTGTTTATGAATTTATAGAATAGACCTGGTTCTGTTTTACATTTGTCCGCAATCCCTTTTTCAAAATTTCTTTCTGCCTCTCTCCTCACTGCCGTGTAGTTGTTTCTCGCATCTTTGTATCGCTGGTATGTTTGGGGGTTCGGCCTCTTCCTGTATTGATTCCATTTTTGTGTCTTTCGGTCTCTAGCCCTCTCGCAATTTCTATTGAACCAATCCTGTTTCCTAGTTCTGCATCTCTGTTTTGGTATAAATTTTTTTGTGCCTTTATCATATATTTCACAAAACTTGCCATACATCTCATTCACTTCCTTGCCTAGCATCAAGTCTGTCCAATTATACTCACTAAAAAAATTTCTAAGGTCACCATAATGTCCTCTCCTGAAGTCTGGTTTTTCAACTGCTTCAACCTCCTTATTTTCTTCCAGCTTATAACGCATTGCATACTTTATTCCCAAAAAGACATGGTCACTTTTACCCAAGGGAGGAAGGTACTGAATGTCAAATATCTCTTCCTCCTTCCTGGTAAATATCAAATCTAGCATGGAGGGAACGTCCCCTTCCCTCATCCTCGTAGCTTGTTTAACATGTTGATACAAGAATGTTTCCAGGATGAGGTCTACAAATTTACAGGTCCAAAATCTTCTGTTTTAGCTTCATATGCTTCCCAGTCTATGGATTTCAAGTTGAAGTCACCGACTATCAACAGTCGTGATCTATCGTTATCCGCTCTCGCTATAATCTCTCTCATTATTGTTATAAGACCTTCACGTTTACTATCTAGCTCCTCCTTTGACCATGTGCTGCTTGGCGGTGGACTATATGCATTTATCATCATTAGTTTATCATCCTCATAGCAGATCTCTAGTGCTATTATGTCAACTTCTTGTGGATTGGCAGTCATTATTTCCTTCACCTTTAGGTGTTCTTTTACCAGCACAGCAACGCCACCGCCTTTCCTAATTTTTCTGTCCCGTCTCCAAATTGAGTAGCCCCTTGGAAATATGACCTCATTTAAAATTACATCTTCAAGTTTTGTCTCCGTGAGTGCAACAATGTCTGGTGTCTGCAGCTGTATTACATCACTTAACTCCAGTATCTTCGATCTCACTCCATCTATGTTGGTGTATGCAATCTTCAGGAACTTGTTCCCCCTCTCCTTATTCTTCACTCCCCCTCTCTCTATTGATTTTGTTGGTTTGCCTTTATGTACCACTTTACTGGTTTGCCTACCCCTATCACTTTGTAGAAAAAAGAATTTATTTCTTCTTCATTCCTGCTCTCATTTAAATGTTTTGCCTCGGCGAGGTTCAGTTTCAGCTTCTCTCTATCTTCTTTTGAAAGATCTCGTCTTAACGACCACCCTTTCCCATCCTCATCTCTTTGCAATTTTCTAGCATTCCTTAGTACTTCTTCCATCTGTTTGGCACCGTTTAGGGTGATCCTCAAAGGTCGATCTTTCCCTTTTACGTACCTGCCTATTCTCCTGTAGTCGCACACATTCTCTCTGTTTGTAAGACCTTCCACGAGGCCAACAATTTTATCTACTACTTTAGCTTCTTCTACAGCTCTTTCTGACCTAGATGTTATCGCCTTTTCTTTGCAGCCAAAAATGATCAGGGACTTACTCCGATCAACTGTGTTTTGCACCAACTTCGGGTTAGATGCCAATGCTTTCCTCACTTCTAGCCTAATGTTTGTTTTATCTTGGTTGCTGCAGTGTTTGACTTCCTTTACTGCTTCTTCTATTTTTTCCTTCTCCTTGGCCACTTGTGCATAAGTGAGTTGCATATCTTTCTTGCACTGTTCTATTCCCTGTGTAACTTCCTCCATCTGTGCTGACAAAAGCTGTTTCTCCTGTTGAATTTCCTTGCCTAACCTATTGTAGTCATTTATGTTTAAATTTACTTTAACTTCTTCCAAAGCTATTTTTAAGAGTTTATTTTCTTCTTCCATGGCTTTGCAATTTGTTTCCAATTGATTCTTATCCTTGCGCAAGTCTTTCACTAAACCCTCAAGACATAAAACTTTGCTATTCAAATGGTCATTACTTTCTTTCAATTTACTAATTATTTCTACATGAGAGTTCACTATAGTATCTAAATTTACCAACTTGTTATGTAGACTACTAATATCAATGCTTTCTTCATTGAATCCCTCAAAATCAAGCTCTGTTTTGTTTTTTTCCCCTTGCCAGTGGCCATCTTGAATGTTCTTCTCTGCACTGTAAACACTAGGGCAACTTTTTCTCATCCGATTTTTCACTTCCCTTAGCACTTTCCTGTTATCTCACCTATTTTTCAAGAGCACTATACCTTTATGTTCTCTGGGACACCACTCACTACCATCAACCTGTACTACAATACTTAGGATTGTTGAAATATGCTGGAGCTCCTCTGCTGCAAGTGTTGACCCTAGGGGTGTCACCTTTTTCCTCCCCAGCTCAGTTGTGTTTGTGCTCAGCTGTTTGTTCTATAATCCCTTTAGAATGGATTTTTCATAAACCCTATATGATTGGAGTTATAATTTATTTTTGTCTAAATGTGTCGCATATTTCAAATGCAATACTGACTTTTTTTTACAGTAAGCTATACTGAAACCCTATATTCTAATTGGATGAAAATGAAAATCATATGCTATTCTGAGAGCGTAACAACACAAAATGAACAACTAGTGATAGTTTATATTTTTTAATCTGATTTGAAAATCTGAAGTTTTCAATATTAAATTTTAAAATTATTTTGTATTTTCTTGTTTTTCAAGTTATGTTGTGATCATTTAGACAAAGTTGGAGCATTTGCCTAGTTGATTATGCACAAAAAACTGGAAAGTGTTTGAGCAAGTTGCATCGCTATGCTGAAAAATATGGTGCACATATCTCAGTCACACATATAGTTTATGATCAATAAAACTTTTTTGCCGTTATTACACTATACACACATACTATAACTATCTACATTTTTATGCCCATTATGAACATTAATCATCTCTAGTACTGTACATGCAATAACCTTGTAACCTGTTATTGAGTTCAGCATAGTCTCGCATTGTTCACACACACAGTTGCAACAACTTGCATTAATTAAATACATCTTATTTTCTTCGTATTATAAATGCTTTCACCATTTTTTTCAAGTGTAATGATGCAATGAGCTGTCATTATTATTATTTGTACCAAAGAACATGTAAATATTGGTACTCTCAAATATACAGTATTCGTATCACACATTAATACGAGTTAAAATTCACATACTGTCACAACGAAGACAGTTTACAAAGATTTACAGGCATCAAGGGGCAAATATGAAAGTACTGTAGTTTAGAGAATGTAACACCTCTTGTACCAAAACACTGTGCCACTGAGATTACACCAACATTACTTAATTAATAAATTTTAACATGTCTTTCTCCTCTAAAATTTACACTTTGCAGAAACACTGATTTAACCTGTCCTGTAAGAGATTCCCATTTCTATACACACTATCAACCTATACATCTGATGCCTCGTTACCCAAGGAATTCCTTTCCAGGAAAGCAACCACGACAGAAGCCTTCATGTAGCCATCTGCCAACTTTTCATATTCATAAAACTGCCATTATGAGACCTCACTTGAACAATCCACTACTTTCCCATTCCATGAAGTAGGCTTCCTGCTCATCATGAGTCCCCTGTACTCCTTTATCCTTTTCTAAAAGCCAACCATCAGTAATCTTTTTTTTATATGTACAATCAAGTTCCCTTGACCACACTAATCAAAACCTTGTTTTATTACATATTAATATAGAACCCACACAGTGCTTCAGAATATGGAAGACAAGGAAGAGAAGGAAAAATAAATAGTATTCTACATAATACAAATCAAATTGAATTTTTACCTTCAAATGTTCCAAAAGATCTTGTGCTCTGCGCAAATCCAGCTTCTGCTTTGGAGTTAACAACTTGCCTTCTGCCTTCAGACGTTCTTTTCTTTCTTTCTCCTTCAGCTTTTTCCGCTCTTTTCTTTCTTGCTCAAGCCTCTTCTCCTCTTCTAACTTAAGAATCTAAAAATAATAATTTGCAAGTGTTTAAAACCTTTCACTTTTATTTACAATACTGCTTTGATATGACAAGGACTTTGTCAGTTTGGTTATGATTTGCCTTCAAGTGATAATAGATTTATAAATGATGCTTCAGCAAAATATACATAGCTCTTTAAAGCTAAAGGGTGAGAAAGAACAAATTTCAATTGAATGTGAAGATATATAGATCTGATTCTTGATAGTGACATTGTCAGATGATGCACATAATTATTTCACAAAAATATCTTCAGTTGCTAATAAGTTACAGACCAGACAAAAATCAGTATCGTTTGTGATTTTAACCTTCACCATAATACTGTATTTCAGTTTTTAATTGGAGGGCAGCAGCAGCGAGGAAGGAGCACAGAGGGTGAGACAGGAATCAAGGAACCACAGCCCAGAACCCTACAGTCCCAGAGGGGAGTGGGGGAACCCTCCACAGGCAGTTCAACAGCCCCAATGGGGAGGAGGATCACACCCACCTTCCACCCAATAGAAGCCCTACCTGCCCCAGCCCCTGCCAGCCCCCCCCCCCCTAAGTGCTCACCTAGAACACCCTCCCCCCCACCCACTCCTCAAGACCTCCCTTCTCCCCCACCCCAGCTAAAGAGAGAGATCCCATAAGCCCTTCCTTCTCCCCCACCCCTACAAGCCTACCCTTCTCCCTCCACCCCCCCCAACCCTCCTTTCTCTCCCCCCACCCCTTAAGCCCTCCCTTCTCCCCCCCCCCCTAAGCCCTCCCATCCCCCCCTAAGCCCTCCCTTCTCACCAACCTTCCCACAAGCCCTCCTTTCTCCCCCACCCCCCACAAGCCCTCCTTTCTCCCCCACCCCCCACAACCCTCCTATCTCCCCCCCCCCCAAGCCCTCTCCTCTCCCCCACCTTCTCAAGCCTTCCTTTCTCCCCAGCCACCCAAGTCCTCCCTTCGTCCCCACTCTCTCCATACCAGATCTTCCCAGCCCCCTCACAACCCAGGTCTCCCTCCCCCCCCCCTCACAACCCAGGTCTCCCTTCCTCCCCCCCTCAGAACCTAGGTCTCCCTTCCTCCCCCCCCCCTCACAACCCAGGTCTCCCTTCCTCCCCCCCTCACAACCCAGGTCTCCCTTCCTACCCCCCCTCACAACCCAGGTCTCCCTTCCTACCCCCCCCCCCCCTCACAACCCAGGTCTCCCTTCCTCCCCCCCCCTCACAACCCAGATCTCCCCCTTCCCCCTTCCCATCCCAAACCCTCCCTGTTTCCCTACTCCAGTGGAACCAACAGAAACTTAGAATGGACAGAAAAGAGTCAGCTTCAAGGTGATGTACTTGAACATAGATGGGATTACAAGCAAGGCAAGTGAACTTAGGGAAAGAGCACAAGAAGTAAACCCAGATGTAATTGGACACAAAACTCTCAGGATTCATAACAAAAGCAGTGTTTTCCCAGGACTACACTGCAATAAGGAAAGAGAGGGAGGGAGGGTAGGGGAGGAGGCAGAGTGGCCCTACTCATAAGAAAGGGATGGAGTTTCAAGATGGTGGTAATCCCAGGCTGCGAGGGGTTCAGAGACTACATAACTGGCACCATGACAATGGGTGGACCAAGAGTAGTAGTAGTGGTGATATACAACCCTCCACCAGACGATAGAATAACCAAGCACACAACAGAAACAATATGGCAGTTAACAATATAATTGAGAGGGCAGCCCCCGCTGCCTGTAGAATTTGATCCCATCTGCTCATCAAGGAGGACTTCAGTCACGGAAGGATAGACTGGGAGAACAAGGAACCGCATGGGAGAGGAAACATGGAGAGTTAAACTATTGGAGGTGGCAACAAAAATCTTTTTAAGCCAGCATGTCAAGGAACCCACAAGAATGAGGGGAAACAATGAACCAGCGTGACTCAACCTAGTTCTCAGTCTGAACATCTCCAACACAAGGGAAATCGGCTTCGAGGCCCCAGTAGAAATGAACGATCACAGTGTACTAACGTTTGATAATCTGATTGAAGAAGGGTTAATGTACTCAAGGAAGGGACCTAAAAACAAAAGGCTGGTATTCCGCAAGGAAAACTATGTGGAGATAAGAAAATTACTAACAGATATAACATGGGAAACAGAGCTCAGGAAAAAGACGGCCCAAGACATGATGGAATACATCACGCAGAAGTGTAAGGAGGCAGCAGACAAGTTTATCCCAGTCCAAAAGGGGAAAATGAAATGCAGATGAGAAACCCATAGTTCAGAGTAATATATGTAGTTTAATACTGTAGTGAATGTCTGCTAACCAATAATTTATATGGTTGACTATATATATAAACCATAAACCCCCCCATAATGTGTAAGGAAAAAAGATTTTAGAAATACAGAAATTTAGTCCACTTTATCATACAATTTAATATCGAAATATATAAACTAACGTAAATATAAATTCTATATAAATTCATATTAAATAAATATAAATCTCACAAGTCAATGTCCCACATGGTACAAAAATTATGAAAATGGTAATTTTTGGACCCTGGTAAGAATTCTGCTTATTCAGATGTCTGGATTATTCGGTAAGAGGTCCTTTCCATATAGTTCGGATAAGTGAGCTTAGACAGTATTTAGGGTTGAAATTAGTTATAGTATTTAATTTTAAATAATTTAAGTTCAAAGTACTGTATTGAAGTTTAAAGCTAGTGCTATATTGCTGTATATAAAAATATTTTAAGCACTGAATGTAAATTTTTTAATTTCTTACCCTTTCTTCCTCTTGCCTTATTCTTTCCTCCTCTTCTGCCTTCTGTTTTTCTTCTTGCTCTTTTTGTTTTGCAAGTAACTCTTTCATGGCTGCCAGCATCTTCTTGTTGGGTTTGCCCTTCTTTGCCTTTGCATCCTCCTCCTCCTCCTTGTCACCTTTCTTCTTTTTCTTCTTTTTTTTACTGCTGCTTTCACCTAGACATTTAACACTCAAATATTAATTTATAAAAACACAGATACTGTTTACAGAAATGTTAGTCTACTCACTCTTTTTGTTCAGCATACTGACAAGTCAAATTAGTCCCCACTTTTTATTATGGTATACAAAAGGCAATAATTTACAGTACCATACATGGTAAAATTTAATCCTTAACCATCATGCACAGAGCGACTTTATGTGCTCTGAGTTGCTATTTTTTTTAATTAGGCTACAATATAATGTTTTTTAATCTTTTCATCACTCTGTTTTGAAATGAAAATGGTTGAGTTTGGAAACATTTTTGCATTAACTTTACCTGAATATTTATAAAAACAACAAAAATAAGTACTTAACAACTGCACTAGGACATTTTTGCCGAAACCACGTGTACAGTGCAGTAGTTAAACCTGTCAACTCAACTTCAAGACCTAGTAATAAATATTGTGGTTACAAAATTTAAAGTACAGTGGTACCTCCATTTATGAATTTAATCCATTCCCACAGACGGTTCGTAAGCCGAAACGAACTTTCCCATAAGAAATACAGTGACACCTCGACTTACGATTTTTTCGAGTTACGATGTAAATTTGGCCGGAAAATGCGACTCTACTTACAATCGTGTTGTCAACTAACAATCTTCGTTATACGCGTCCGGGTTGACCGAGCGCATGGTTCCTGGTGGCACCAGCCGACCTGCCTCAGTCTACCAAAGCCGCCCACTTAGTGATGATAACGCTTGTAGGAAATTTAAT